TGGCCAGGCATATTTTTCAACCCTGCCTGGTGTGGATATATACACTCAGAGTAACATCACACAAGCAATTTAGAAATATTTCTTCAGAAATCTTGTCTGGATGAATGAAATTTTTCTTCAAAGCTTCGAAGTAAACAGACATGCAGAAACACACAAACAAAAACACTAGGTTAAATTTTAACCAAGGATTAGCCTTAGCTTAGAACAACCGACCCCTGGTCAACCTACAAATATTAAGGCGCTATATTTAAAGCTTGGTGAAACCAAATAGACGACTATATAGACCCAATACTGAAGTAAACATTTCATTTTACAGTCGACAATCAAATGTTGTAGCCGTAAACTGTAGCAAAACACTGATAACAGTTTTAAACAGAGTTTTTACTAATATTTCACGACTACATAGCGGATAAATGCAATTTATATTTTATTGACAACCGCCATGTGTTCGAGATCATATTACTATTTCACTAACAAAAGTTTACATACATACAAATTTGCATACACAAATTATTCCCTGACCCCAGCGTAAATGCAAATTTAATATAAGTCGATTAAAAATTCTTACCTAACAGGAACATTAGGCCCAGATCTTTCAGTTTGGCTCTTGGAGAACTGCAGTTTTGAAAATTCGCACGTTGGCAGCACGATGTCGCCAGTAGATTTTATATGGCGCAACCTTTCTTCAGTGATAAATTCATCATATTGTTGCCTCAAGAGCGATAATTCCCCTGAAATATGTTCGCTTAGGTTTGCTTGTTGAAAGATTTCGACGAGCTTCCTAAGAAAATCGACTTTTTTTAAAAGCTTCCATCCTGATGGCATCCATGTAGCTTGTGATATATTATTCTTTATCCCGTCAAGTCGACAAGTATTGAACTTTATTGTTGATCATTTGTATTGCGCAATCAAAATAGAGCCACCGTGGCAGACCGTGGCGCACATGACCACAACTTGCCCTGTGATTGGTTTGCAACGCTGCACCGTGGCAGAAAGTTACTATATTTAGTAACAATTGCGCAATTTTTTGCACGCTGACCGTGGCATTTTGTGGCTGTGATCGCAGCTTCGAATTTACGACTGTTTTCCGAACATATTCGGCACAATTCGGCACGCTTTCGGCGGTTTTTATAGTTCAGTGTTTAACTGGATAATTATACTATTGAACAAGGAATATATTTCGGAAGTTTTCCTGCTTTTAGCACATATTACTGTAATATGAGAACAATTACAAAAGATATTATTCAAATTGTTTGCTATAGACCTATATTTGCTCAATTTTGCTGTATTTCAAATAACTAATATATACTTCTTAAAAATGCGTAATGCAGTCTAATGCAGTATCCAACAAAGGTGAACCCCGGAAAATCCTGGGTGGGAAAAATCTGACCGTGGCTCGAGCCACTTTTGCCACGGTCTGGATCCGCGCCTGCACTTCATTGTTTTGTATGAAGTAGCCATTAAAAAATTCAGGTAGATTTTGTAAATGTTTAAAACGGTACATAAATAAACAACTTAAATAGTCATTAATCTTAAAGATATTCAAGATTTTCAATTTTTGAAACAATGGTTCAGTGTGTTCAAGATAAGATTTAAAGTTCATCAATCTGATAATTTTTTTCTGTAAATTCAGTATTGTTAGCAGCCTTGTTGGGTACGTGTTACCCCATATTAAATTCCCATAAGTAAGATATGGATAAACTAATGCATAATAAAGTACATTTAATGTATTTTTGTTTGTATAATGTCGTATTTTTGCAATCAACGCCGATGCTTTAACTCATTAATGCGCAAGCTGTTACAATGTTTCTACCCCCCTAACGTACAAGCAATATGGTGAATACGTGACTGAATTCAAGAGCTTTCACCAAAATGGCAATATCTCAGAAACAGTTGCATGAATAAATCTGGTCTTTTCAACCAAATATTATTAATATATGATTGACCAAATTTAGTTTGAATGAACTTGCATACCTATATATATCATTAGTTTTTTCAATGAGAATTTTTATTTGTAAACCAGTGACACTATTTTTTTCATGTCACTCATCACCTAAAGGGGCAATATCTCCATATATTTATATAAAAACAAAAAAAAAAATTATTTACTAAATTAGTACATATCTATATTATAACCAATTTTCATCTATTGGGATATGAATTAGAAAATGATCAAAAATTATAAAAAATACTCCTTTGCTTTTTTGGGCAAGATGTTCACAACATGAAATTTAGAACAGTAACTAAGTGTTAAAATTCAACAAAGTGTGCAAGCCAAAACACAGTGCTTGTACATCTTTGGAGTTTTTAATTACCTCAAATATATTTAAAAGGACATACGGTACTAGAATCTATTTGTTTTCAATATAAACCAAGGATGGGAAGGTGAGAAAATAGGAATTTTCTGAGGTGTTTTTAACACAGACAATGACAGCCGACATTTTCAAAGGCAAATTGCGGTGACAAAACCAAAAGTTATTCACTTCTCTACTCAAAGCACTGAAAAACACCATAAAGAGAAAAACATTTTAAACATACATCAGGTAAGCCTTTTAGCTCAATTTTCTCATGTTTCTGTTTGGAAAGAAACGGTTTTTAGCCAAAATTATTTTGCGCGCCAATGTAGGCTGCTATAAAATGTCAGACACACGTTCTCTTTTGAAGTCTGGCTCTGAAAAACAATCGCTTTTTTTAGTTTGAAATAAGCTTTCATTAGGACTAATTGTGTAGAAATGTTATCTGTATGCTCAAATGAAAAAGATAACCTAATATTCAGGTATTCAACATAGCTATAAAAGGGTGAAATAAGGACTTTCATCTTTGGTTGTTTGTCAGACATGAGAAACCACATTAGTGCCATTTTGTCGCGCGTGCTATTTTATAAAATAAACACCTCAAAACCATAAACTTTTAGTTCAGAAAACTACAAAGTTCCCCATAGACATTATTAAAAATGTTCTAGTGAAACGATTTCATGATAAATATGCGAGCAATGGGCTCGAAAGGACGGCTGAATTATGTTTTTGTTGGGACTTCAGTTTCATGGCTTCCCGCAAAGGAAGCCATTTCAGAGAGAAGCGACAACAACGGCAAACAACCGTCGCGACCAAATTTTGATAACTTTTCCTTCTGATTCAACATGTAGTCACTAGAAAATGAGGTTGGATCAACATTACTATCTGCCTTATCGATTTAAAGTTTTATGGGGATATAAAACCCAATACAAAAAGCATTTTAAAAGCTTTAGAACTCAAGTGCGGACTTTTTGAGAATTCGCACGCGGCAAGCAAGCGCATTAATTCAATGCACTTATTTCAAACCACAATATGTCTGAAACGAGTTGTCATTTTAAGACTAAATTGATCAAAATAGATATAACAGTGATTTTGGAGTACCCTACTTACTTAGTGTAATTTAATACTCGAAGTATTCTTGCCAAATAGGGCACGTACGCACACAGTAATTTAATCTGGTGTCGTTTGAAACATACTTTAGCTAAAATAACAACTTGAACAAGAAGACCAACAATGGGGTTACGAAAACAGTCGAAATTGTGCCCAAATTTGCATAAACAGTTCGTCTAAAAAGATAACTTTAAACTAGATTCAACCAACATTAATGCAGTCGAATTTTGTGAGTGTTTGATCGCATATTTCTACTCAAAAATACCCTTTAAAAAATCGTATCTGCTCACTTGTGTTCCGTGTTCATCTTTCTTGTGATTTCCGACTTCTATTTTTAATAAAGTTTGGAGAAATCCTCATCTTTTTGGCTGAAAATCTCGCGCATGGTTCACAGAAAAACTTGGCCCCAAAACGTCAATACATTCGCTTTCCTTTCATGCCAAATTTTCGTTGTAGTTGATTCAGAAACCTCTTCTTTTCTTGCTTTTAAAACTTGCTGTAAAATCTTTCTTTGTAACAGAATCGCCATTATTCATTATTTTTGGAAAACTAAGATTTTAAACTTGAAAAACTTTGCGAGTTTCTGACCGATTTTCTTGCATGATACACCGTTGAAAAGCTCGAATTTCACGTTCTATTTTCGTATCCGTTGCTAGGCAACCCGATAAACACGTGCTCAAATATCATGCCCGCAAGTTAAGGTGTCATGCCAGGGCGCATTCGGGCGCATTGTCCGTTACCCACTTGTCAATCTCAGGGCGCATACGGGCGCATTGGGCGTTAATGAGTTAATAATATTTTTGACAACTGAGTTTATATGGTTTTTCCATGTTAGTTCTTGATCTATTATTACACCTAGAAATTTGACAGCAGTAGCCTGATGTATAATGATGTTATTGTTAAGTTGAATATTAATATCAGTGTCACATTTTTTATTTTTTGATTTAAAAATGACTTACTTAGTTTTTTTAGTATTTATTGATAATTTATTGGCATTTATCCATTTGGTCACTTCCTTCATTTCTTTTTGCATAACATGCATTAAAGATTTGAGGCATTTGTCAGAGTAAAACGCATTTGTGTCATCGGCATACATAACAAAAGAAATTATTTCACTACAGTTCTCAATGTCGTTAATATATAACAGAAATCCAAGAATCGAGCCTTGCGGAACTCCTGAAGATATAGTCATCTTACTTGACTTATGATCACGAAACTTAAGAATTTGCGTTCTTTCATGTAAGTAGTTTTCAAACCATTTTAAACAAACCATCAAACCATTTTGTCACATCTTTTGTTTGATACACTACCAAAAACTTTTCCATCCAATGAATCAATGATCAACCTTGGACTTAAATTCAGGCACTTCAGTAAATTTCATATTTTGCTTTAGGTCCATTATGATTGAGCTAAATTCATCCCAGATATCCTGCATGATGTGACTATTCATTATTTGGCAACAAATAGGAAATGTTGATTTGTTTAAACAATTTGACTTTTTCTGGACCAGTTAAGTCTCTGTAGTCCAACGTTTTAGAATCTTTTGCAATATAAAAATTAAAATTGATCCCCATGTCTTGTAGGTACTTTTCATACCTGGCCATGTGTGGATATTTTTCCCTGGCAAAATTATCTGTGTATGTTTTCTTTTTGTCAATTGCATCAGCCACCTTTAACTGTCTGATTAGTAACGGGATCAAATTGTCACATATTCTTAGATAAAGGTGTAATGTGTCAATGACTACATGATTTAGTGGAATAAATGTAAATAAGGGGGCATGTGTGCAATTAAATTTTCTTGATTTTGAATAGTTCTTAATTTGTTCCAAATTTCTTGCTCCACGTTCAGCATCAAGAAGTGACCACACTTTGCAAATGTCATACCTTTTTAGCTTTGGACATAGACACCAAATGCAAGCATAATCTGCATTGGCACCTCCAATCACGCCTGTCAAAAATGCATCCAAAAGCGCCAATATGCGATACGCAGTGGGCAGCGGTTTTCGTTGCAAAAGTATCCAAAACATGCAAGTTACATGAAGTATTCAGAGCGAAACTTTCAAAATGGCGGGCGAACAGAGTGGAAAATTTAGGACTATTGACGTAGTTTTACAAGAAGTTGTTTGCCATAATGCTGGAAATGATGGGAAAAGCGATGGGGCGAGGAAGATAAGGGATGCCTTGTGCACAGTGGCGGTAGAATTGGAGCTGGACTCCGACTGAAAGTCGTTCTGCCGATCTCTCAGTTGGCATATTAATAACATGGCATGCTGCGGAAATTTTGGCTAGCTCCGCAATGCCCTGCATTGTTTCGGCATGAATCGAGATTATGGCTGTCGGCAATAAAAGCGGAGTATTAGACATCCATTTCATGGTGAAATATATCGAGATATAAAGATATTCCCTTAGAGCTATTTTCCATGCTGGGATCAGAGATTGGTGAAAACCACTCCTGAGTATTGTGAGCCTTTTTGCTTCCTTGGGGAAAACAAAAATAATTATTTATAAACAGTAAGATTTCTCTTACTTTTATACAGCAATGCTCTAAAATCAGTAAAATGTAAATACAGCAAGTAAAATATTGTTGCATTTCAGAGCATTGTCCTTTTAACCAAGATATGATCACCACCATCTACATATAACTACAGCATATTTTTACTTTCACCCATCTCAATACACCCTTTAGGTAATTAAATCACAAATACCCCTTTAGTCTAGAAGCCGCACTCTCATAAAAAAATAAATTCATGAACAAAAGGTTTCCTGGACAGGGAAGGAGTTGTGACATAAATATCAAAAGAGTGTATTCCATGGAAGACAAATTTTCAAGGAATATCTTGATTTATTTCACTATAAAACAACATTCTACAATATTGAATGAACTAGGAAATGTTTCTTTTTCTCACCTGCAATATTGATTTCATTTCTCATGACAAAAACATTTGCCAGAAATGATTTATAGCATACCACCTGCTGACAGCCATAATCATGTCACATGTTGCAACAGTGCTGAATGTCATGACAACAACATGGCTGGGAATATGTTGGAACACATTGGACACAGTTTCTTTTTTTAATGATTTTATTCATTGTTAGTGGGATATAGATAAATATGTAGACCACTGTTTGTTTATGATGCTCCTCTTGCTTGATCGCAGTGGGAATCAAACCCACGACTTTTGGTTTTCTTACCGACTTGACCCCATGCATGTATGGCCCAGTTGGTAGAGCATTGGACTAGCAAACCGAAGATCGCAGGTTCGATTCCCACCGCTGTCAAGCAAACTCTTCTGCTTGCCCGGTGTGAACACACTCAAAGTAGCATCAGTACCAGTGTATGCGACACCTTATAATAATACAATGTTCTATCTATCTATCTATCAGGATACTAGCATGTGTATATTTTATTTCTATTAATATTTTCACACTGAGAACAATAAAATGCTGACATTGCATTATTTGATGATTGTAGTTTGATATCTTAACAGCCAAATCATTCTTGAATTCCCGGGTATATTCCTGCAAAAAACATGCAATAATTATAAACGAAATTATACATATTCTACAATAATTATATGCCCAACCCCATCACTCAGTCTCCCTGTCAGGTGCACAAATCACCATAAATTTGTTGTCATGGTGCACAAACCCTAAGAATTCAGGGATCCCTCAGAAAACCTCATCCCAATAGCATGCTGTTTAGAATTATTTCCTATATTAGACAACCCTTCAGATAAATTTTTATCCAAAATTTTAATAATACACCCTTTCAATAATTATGTCATTTGGCCTGGGAGCCTTGCACTCATAAATCGAGATCAGGGCTCCAAGAGCAAAGTGTATGTGTGACATAAATATCGAAAGGGTGTATTTACAGGTTACCCTGAAGAATTTGGTTAAAATTCAGGCAATTCCTCAGAAAACCTCATCCCCAATAGCATACTGTTCAGAATTATTTCCTATTTTAAACAACCCTTCGGATAAATATGTATCAAAAAATTTGATAATACATCCTTTCAATAATTATTTCCTATTTTAGACAACCCTTCGGATGAATTTTATCCAAAATTTTAATAGTACACCCTTTCAGTAATTACGTCATTTGGCCTGGGTGCCTTGCACTCATGAATCATGATCTGGGGCTCCAAGAGCAAAAAGTATGTGTACGTAATCATGAAAATGGTGTATTTACAGGTTACCCTGACAAATTTCGTTAAAATTCAGGCGACCCCTCAGAAAACCTCATCCATAGGGGTGTGTGTATATAAAATGAATGGTTCATTAGGTGAAACAATCAAATATTGAATTGTCAGACAAATTTACTGTCTTTACTTGTCAAGGTGAAAATGTTGGGTTAATATATCAAAAATGTTTTTGAAAGATTATTCATGCAGTAAACAATAAACATAAATAAATACATTCAACGAAGGGATCTTTGTCTCACTGTCCAAGTGGTTAAGTAAACATTAACCTAGCAGCTGAGCCAATCGATCATGTTGAAAAAATATGCATAAATACTATGATTTGACTATACCTAGAGGCATCGATTTGTTAAAATTTTGTACTAAATAAACTACCAAAACAATTAAACGGCTCATCTTACCCTTACCTTTTTATCCAATCTTTTTAACTTCTTAGCCGTTGCTCTACCCTGCTTCGTCTTGTTATCTATGGCTATAAAGCTTAACCTTGGCTGTCGCATACGCTCCCGACAATGAAGCGCTTGTATCGTGTTGCTCTTTTCCACGGCATATTTACAATTTCATTGCAAAATTATCAAAAAACAAAAAACATACGATTGTAAATGGACACTTTATCTTTCAAATCACACAATAACGAAAACAATCAGAGCATAAACAAGAAAGATATAACTAGCCGAAATTTGTGTATTTTAGCGACTTCCTTTGAAACTTCGTAACTAGCGCGAATGCCCGGAAGAAGACCAAGGAAACTAGAATAATAAAGTAACCATGGCAATAATAAGGATCAAAATAATCCACAGAATCTCCTCTTTCACACTCGTATATACCTATTAGAGGTGTGTGAATCCGATCCGAATCCGATCGGATTCGGATCGGATTCGGACAGTAAATTACTCGGATCGGATCGGATTTCGTTTTGTTTCTGTCGGATCGGATCGGATTTTGCAGGTTTTTTGTCGGATCGGTTCGGATTTGATTTTTCTTGTATCACGTCGAATTATTCGAATATTTTTACAAATTGAGAAAGTTCTATATTCTGCAGCTGTATTCCACTTTTTACGTTACAAATGGCATCAGAATTCACAATGGCTTTGAGCATAAAAGTAATTCCATAATCCATATAGTCCATACAAACTACAAACTACAAAGTCAAAGTAACGTTTTGCTCGCTCGCGAAATCGCGAATAACGAATGCCATTATGCCACCCAATCTCCCCTCGGGCCTCGGCTATTCAAATCGTATCGCCCTGATGATATCGCCCTGCAATTTTTATCGGATTCGTATCTGTTTATTTTTGCTAGAAATTCATTATTTCCAATATATCGTTTATGATCATGAAAAAATACGTTCATAATAATTAACGCACGCTGTACAGCGTACACAACTTAAGATCGGATCGGATTACGAATTTTAGCATCGGATCGGATTTTATAAACATTGTTTCGGATCGGATCGGATTACTTTTTTCATCTTCGGATCGGATTCGGATTGAGAACTCAGACAAACCATCGGATTGAGAGAGGTCAATCCGATCCGACGCACACCTCTAATACCTATATATTCTTACACATATCCTACAAAGTACCAGAAGCAAGAGAAAAACCGCGATTTTCAAAATTAGAATTAGTTACCAGTCTTACATTTTTTCCGCTCGGTAATTAGAAAAATTGTGGACACTTCTAATTGGCGCTTTTGGATGCATTTTTGACAGGCGTGAATACCACACACACACTAGCCAAGAATTTCCAGTCTCCACCAAGAAAATATTCCAGTGGATAAGTAATATTATCTAATGTTATCTCAGTCAGAAGTTCCATTTCTTTAATTAAATCTTTAAGGCTTTCAGCTAAAGTTTCATAGCTTTCTTTAGCTCTTGTTACAGCTAAAAGATAGTTGCCCTTTTCACTCATGGCCAATTTATTTTCATTCAGAATGGTGTATGTTATGTTCACAACACTAAGCCTCTTTCCAATATTGGTGCCATCACCACATATTTTTATTTTGATGGTTTTACCATTTTCAAGTGGACCAGACGCCTGGACAACCTCGTCCCCAGGGCCTTTTGAGGAAAGATGTGAAGGGCAGCTAAGGCCCTGGTAAAGGCTGGTGAAATAATCCACAAATTGTGGATTATTTTGTCACGTGATATATCGGAGCAAATAGTATACAGGGGGGTCGGATCGCTTTAGCTACAATATATTCGTCAATATATTGCATAAACACCGAAATAGACAAATAAAGAACAAAAATCTATTTTAAAATGAAAAAATCTGTTAAAGTTCTTCCAAAAATATTGAATAAATTTGAAATTGTCTTCAAATTAGCTCTGAGAACCTTGGTTGAACTCTAAAGGAGATCCATTAAATAGACAAAGCAACAGTGCAAAACAAATGGATCGATAGAAGCATTTATACTATGAATTTAATACTGTCGCAAGGAAATTGCTGCCTCGATTGTGAAACAGATATGTAAAATCACTTTAGTTTAATAATATGGACTCCATGATCATCAAAACATTTAATAGTCATTGTTGGTACAGTAGATCTTTCTTGCAAATGTCAATATCATACAGTATATTTAACAGTTAAAGGGAGTACAAGACCCAAAGAATGTCTGAAAAACAAGGAATGTCAACATCGTATGCACTTAGAATTTAAATGCTTATGTTAGCCATATGCCCTGAGTATAACCTGGTTGACCTCCGTGGTTAAATTAACATTTCCTGAATTTAATTGAGTTGAAATATTTTATTTGATTTTCATTCTTATCCCAAGAACATTGTGAACACACATATAGTGCTTTGGGTTTAGATTTCAAAGGCCAAGCTTCAAAACAAATGTTGTGATCTTAATGATCAGGCATTCCCAAACAATTACATGCATGAGGGTCAAATCAGACAGAAAGCCTCCATATGCTTTATCAAGGCTGAATAATATAATGAGATGATTAATTTCCTCATTATACTGTTAACAAGCCCTTGTTTTTGTTTGTAATCAATTACACAAATTACTTCCCAGAACATTATTTAAGGAGATTTAAGGAGATTATTTGATATAAAGTCAGCAGGTACATTTTTTCCTGAGCCACAATTGGGGCAATTCAGTGTCACTCATCACAACAGGTGCTCAAAATCACTCACAACATACAACAGGCAGTTCAGCATCACTCACCACAATTGACTGTTCAATACTGTGTGCCTCAGTAGGCAAATCAATAATCAATATTTTGCTCAGATCAACAACAAATATCAAAATTGAACTCATTCTCAAAACATGATACAATAACAAGGGGTCTCTTATGGACAAATACAAGACACCTGGTGTCAAATGTATCACATGACAAGATTATTCATCTCTTTTAATATAAATACATTTTGCCGCCTTGTAATAAAGTACTATTTGTTGTTGGTGACCATCAGTTGAGCAATTTAAAACATTTGCAGTGTATGCTTTATCAGACCTAAAGATACTTGGCTTCACCTTGTATCTTTATACCTGATACAACTATAGTACTGTACATAAAATAATAACTATGATATTTAGCCTGAATATTATTATAGATGTATGAAGGATATTATACATATATTCTTGATGCTCAACATTATCCGATAATCATTTAACATGAAATCCGATAATCATTTAACTATTGAGAATTGTGTGAATTCCTGAATTACTTATTGTTACAGACTGTACTGACCTCGTGCAATTGTGGTTATTAACCAAAATCTGACAATATCTCTAGTTAACCCATTGAGCTGCAATGTGCCCTACTTACTGAAATTGACTGATTTGTGGTTTATGGCAATGTTTTTTTGTGGCAATTCGTTGGGCATCACAAGTGCATTTGTATATCTTAATACACTGTGAGAATACAAGTATTAGTATTTAAATGACACAATATGATGTAAGTTACCTTTCAGGTATATAATTTGTATACAGCATCAGTGGTGTAACTTAACTTTTTTGACCACTTGCCCTCAGGGCAAGTTGGACATGAAAATTGGTTGCCCTGAATAAAATCCACTTGCCATCAGGCAATGGGGTACCTACGTGGGCCAGTATAAATTAGGGAGACAACATATCCACTCATTGGACTAGTGGCATTGGCTATGTTACTGCCTCAGATCTAGACTACCTCATATCTAGCTTTGGCTCACATATTAAACAAAATTTGAATCAAGTACACTTATTTAATATAACACTAATCACCATTATTTATTTATTTTTTATTAGTTTTACAATAAGAAATTGAAGGCACAGACAACAGGACTAATAAAGTCCCAAATTAAGTCCTGCCATAAATTAAGTCCTGCCATATTTCATTATCATATCATGAATAAACATTTAATAACCAAAAAGAGAATCAATGCATAATATAATCAAACAATTTAGATGAATTTGATGCAGATGATTTGCTAGCTTGAACCAATGTCGTCGAACAGCCTTTATTCTATCCGACAATAATAATATGAACTGAAAGCTGGCCAGCTTTTTGTGGCAGTGAAAGCAACTTGCCCGTTCGGGCAACCAAGAGGAAACTTTTACTTGCCCATCATGATATTCACTTGCCCCGGGCAAGTGTTAAGTTACACCTCTGAGCATAGTAGTTGCCATTTGGCAGCTGTTGGTCTGGTTGAAGTGCTCAGATAATTTGGGGAGACCCATATGGCATGCTCTCTCAACAGTGAAGGTTCAAAAACACACATGCCGGAATGCTTATAGAATACCTCGCCATTTTTCCGCATTCATTGACACATAAATATGTACAAAAATCACTTCAAAATAGTTTAAGGGTAAAGTTTAGAGATTAAATCATATGAGTATGTTAGTTTGGTTCAAATTTGACTGGGGGGTTTTGAAGAATGAGGCAATCATATTAGATCAATTTTGAGTAAATTGACAATGTTTACAAGGAATTAATAGCGGTAAGATGTGAAAGTTGTGGGTATTCTATAGTTGTATCAAAAAAGTGGAAAACCAAGCTAAAAGCCCCAAGAATACCTGATTGCCACAATGTCAAAGAGCATAGTTGCTGACTAAGAAACATCTATTAGACCATGTACAGTACTTGAGTCTTGTGATATTGCTTTTGTATTATACGATATACTGTAAACTTGCTGTTAACATATTATAATAATATTCATGGTTGTCAAATATCATAAAACCAACACACAAAATTCACACACAAAGGTTTAAAATAGTGTATATTGGTATAAACGTTTAATAAAAATGCATACATACGTAACCCATGGTCGGCATGGAATTTTGTCACTTGGCACAGTACTTTAATGTTTTTTAATGTTTGTCCCACATTAAAATATATTGAGTCAATGACAGTGCAACTGTTCATATTAAAACGTTCTAATCTCATTTTACATGCACATTTGTATTCAGTAGTAATCTTTTCATAAAGGTACATCAAAGTCCCAAATCAAATTCTTCACTGACAGTATGTTATTGACTCCCAAACGACAAATATTATAAAACACGCTTCCAAGCTGAAAAGAAATATTTACTGTTGTCAGTCAGTGTTTAGACCCTTCTCTTTGAATATTGATCTTCGACAGGTATTGCTGTTGATTATATTCCATATTTTTTTGAAGAACATCGCAGACTATATATTTCCACTGTCAGTTGAAAAGTTTATCATCATAGTGGTTTCAGTCGCAAAAGCTTCTATCGCCCCTTTGCACGGCCATGTTTGATAAAATCAAAGTGGCCCGCACCCCCGGTTTGAAAAGTTAAATATTCTAAAATATTCAAAATTTGAAGCATCACGTGACCAGCCTTTACCAGGGCCTTTGCTGCTTCGCTTCCTTCCTCAATAGGCCCTGGGGACGAGGTTGACACCTGGAGTCATCGGATATTTTTAAGAGGCTATCTTTAAAACTAATTTGAACACCATCAGCCGTGCCCGGAATGTCCTTTAGCTCCCATTTACTGTTCAACTCCTTTGCATGTTTGATTAGTTTATACAGGTTTGGGAGCCATCAGCTTTCATTGCTAATTCATGCCATGCCTCATTAGATATGCTGAATTTATCTTTAATGTACAACCACATATTTAATTCATTTACCTGGTCATCATCTGCCTTTAATTCTTTTCCACTGTCCAGGGAGGTGTGTGTACCATTTTCCTCAAAGAAAAAAGTTTCTGTTTCTCCTGTTGACAAATTACATAGTTCAATATATGATGGGGCAAACTCGAACTGTCCGAGAAATGACAAAACAGTTTCACACTGAACTTTCAATTGCTTTTTTACCCGTGCCTGGTGTTGCTTTGTGTACTCACTAAAGGACTTCTTTTTGTCAGGTCCCCTCGTCTTTTGATTACATTGTAACTCAGCTATTTTCTTCACATAATTCATAGCTTCCAGCCTGAGCTACTTTGATGGCAATGCTGGATATCAGCAGAAAACTGAAAGCCAACTTTAGTAAATTGAATTGCATTTGACAGGCCTAAAATGGCCCAGATCACATCGAATTTGGGATCAGAATGTAGCTTTCCTTCCCAACTGTTCGACTTTGGCGGTAACTTGCGCACAGAGCATGCATATTTGGAACTATGGCCCAATTCCCCAACCCATTGCCGCACGCATCGTATAATGTCCTAATAAAATATCGCGCTACTGTCGCATTTCAATTCAAAAATGACGGACGTAAATTACATCTGTTCTGCATGAACAATCATTCAAAATAAAGCTTATATGATGAATTTTCATATATCTAGGGAAGTTATTGCCAACTTGTTTACACAAAGAGCGAGAAGCAAAAAAACGCAAAATTTGCAGCAAATTCGGTGAAACATGATCCTCAGAAATGTGAACTAGGCATTTGTATTAAGTTTGATATGGATATTATTAGAATATTGAGCGCTGGGAAAAAACTGCTCTTAAATCGGTCCGTACTACATTTAAAAATTGAACGACTATCAGAGTTACGAAGTGGCTGACCATGTTCGATGAGCCTAGAATTAGGTATGAGCGGGGATTGAGTTTATTATCGCCGTTTGAATTGATCTTTTGGAAGAGATTAAGGCACAAACGTTGTCTGTTATCATCCAGCTGTACACAATCTGCAGCAGGCAAAGCCTCTCTGTATGATAAACTTGGGAAGATTATTCTCAAAACTCTCTTCTGTAAACGTTCAATTTGCTCACTGAGATAGGATGGTAGGTTAGTGTGCCAAACTGGGCAACAGTACTCCAAAACCGAACAAATAAGTGCAGTATAAATTGTTAACAAATCATCGGCAGTCATACCACTTCTCTTTAAGGTACGTATAATGTAAAGACTCTTTGCTGCCTTCTTTGTAATCATATTAACATGATCTGTCCATTTCAGCGAGCTATTTAACACAGTACCAAGAACCTTATGACAATCAACAACATCTATTGGTATTCCATCGATAGTTAATGGTTCCAAAACAGGCGTATCACAGAAGAAACATACCCTTAGCTCTTTACATTTCTTTGTGTTTAATTTCATGTAATTAGCAGATGACCAAGAGGATATATAATCAAGATCTGATTGGATTGTTGAACTGCAGTATTTGGCTATAACCTCCGAAGCAGTAAGATCATCTACATATTTCCAATAATTACATGTTGGTAGGACAAGATCGTTAATCATGAGAAACAGATTAGGGTCCAATTTAGTGCCTTGTGGGACACCAGCGTTCGTTGTGATCCACTCTGACAAAGATTTACCCAATTTAACAAAAAACTACATATCCAAGGCAATAATGACCTTCGTACTCCTAAAAAGACCAACTTGGTAACCAAAATGTTAAGGTTGATGCGGTCGAAGGCCTTGCTAAAATCTAGAAAACAAATTCGCAAATACTGGCCGGGCGTATCCAAATTTAACAGCCAATTGTGAAACATATCCAAGAGGCACAAAGTTGTAGATGTACCTTTTATAATGCCGAATTGTTTATGATCGATTTTATGTGCAATATCTTCAAGAATCGATTCTGCTACAAATTCCTCCATAACCTTAGAGATGCAGAGCGTTAAAGAGATTGGTCGTAGATCACTCTCCTCTTTCGGTAGTTTTTCTTTAGGGATAGGAGTAATGTTCGCGCATTTCCAAGTGTCAGGAACGATACCAGAAGATAAAGAGAGGTTAAAGAGATCAGAAATTGGTTCAGCTAGTTCGTAAGCAAATTCTTTCAAAAGACGTGGTGGAATATTGTCAGGACCCATTGCTTTGTGAGGGTTGAGTTTTTGCAATTTCTTACAAACCTGATAAGAATGTATCACCGGCACCTGCTCAACGGCTGGCAAAAAAGCTGGTAACTTGTGCATATATATTGTAACAATAAATCGAGTTTGTCTAACTTTGGGAAAAGAGACCTCACATTGGCGGACAAAAAGTTAGGTAATTGCAATTTCGTATTAGCAGGGGATGCCGGTTTAATATTTATTAGATTAAAAGGATTTCTAGATCTTTTATTATTATCCATAACAGAGTAACGTGGTGTGGTACGGGGGGGGGGGGCTTTGCAAGGTTACATGTACCGGGATGTGTTGATTAAGACCCGTGTTTACTGTCTCATTGTCACACGAACAAGGGGGGTTATGACCTCCAATTTTTGGATGCGGAGGCAACCAGTCATTTGTTAACATGTTAATCGGTGTATGAGATCGAGATGGTTGATCCAGTCTGACTCTGTCAACTATCAAGACGGCTGTAATCCATGCCAACCCTGTCAAAAGGGGGAGCCTTTATAATATTTGATGTAAAGTACATAGACTTCACAATATCTACATATAAATTTGCGCTATTGAAATCTTAACAAAAGCAGAGAGACATATCCACACAGAATGGACTATACTGCCTCTTTCAAACCATCAGACAGTTAACCCCTCAGTTAGAGCCAAATTTTGGCCATTTTCGGGCACTATGTGCAAGTACCATACCTTGCAGGATTTCATCCCAGCTTCTGCAGAATGTTTGTGTGGTATATGCTTGTTTACCATGTCTTCACAAAATTTGAGGTGAGGTATACAAGCTACAAGAATCCTTTCAACAAGGACAATGTAGTTAGATTTTTGTATAATATGTTCAATGGGCGAAGGACAAGTTTAGCATTTTCCAACTCAGTGATCTTGCAAATAGGCCCATTATCTGGTACATGACTGCCGGAAACCCTGTTTGGGATTCTGTTGTGGTTGACCCAGTGTATGTCTTTATTTTGATTCTCTTCAGTCATTGTTCTAACTCTTTGAAAAATGTCAAAATTATCAATCACATACTTGCATCCGGGTAACAAAGGTAATTTGCATTCTTTAAAAGTCTTTCTCTCCACTTTACTTGATACTGATTGTACTATTTGTGCCATTACCTCAACAACAATAGGATCAATGACCGATGTATCCTCTTCAGAATTTGCTGATTTCCCTGCCAGAGTGACTGGATTCCTCTCGGTTTCCTTCAAGACTTTCGACAGAGATATTTATTGATAACACTGATCAAACAAGTTCTTGGTTTTAGTTAGGGATTATTTAAATTGATAAGTTTTAAAATTATATGCAAGAAAAAGACATAACACAAGAAAATCGCATCAAACTTTTTTATTTCATCATACAGATCGTTGAAAGGAATATGTCGCTTCACACGAGAGATAATTGTCGGGCTGGTGGCGAACTTGGAAAGTCAACATTTGTGAGAAATTGAGTACAGAACAAGGTGTCTACAACCAGAGCATCCAAGATCATCTTCCACTGACGATGTAGAAAGTTTTTTTGCTCTTTTGCACAAAATGCTTGGGCCAATTTTTGATCCAAAACAATTCTACAGTGAGCTCCCGAAGATTCTGAACGAGTATAAGAAACGAATTGATACAGACTTATCATTTTTCTACTGGACTGGGTCGAAGACAAGGTACAAAGACTATGAGCTACCCTCGTTTAATTTGCCGTCTGCACAGGGAGTCGTTGAAAGACTAGACCAAGTGCATTTATCAAGAAGGGGGGATCCTGGTGTCTTTGTCGCTAACAGGGCGTCACTTCCTCAAAAAGGGCATCTCACAGCCAGAGCAAAGTTTCATTGTGCTCCAGTTGCATTACCGCCATTGCAGCAGCTTCATTGACATTAACAGAGCAATTTATTTAAAAAATAGGATTTATAAAAGGCCTAAACAGAAACGATAAGCAAAGAAAACAACCGCTTTGCTCTCTGTGCAATGTCTTCCAAGCGTCAATGCCAAACTGCCAATATAATACCATTTTGCTAAGCCGACGTTCCTCAGTTATCAGCAAAAGCTAGCCAAATTTTATCTCAGTTCACTCTGGTTTCAACGGTCTTGGAGACAACATAAAAGGTAAATCCCACCCACCAGACCCTTTGATGAAGAAGATGATCCAATAATCAGGAACTATAGAAACTTATTTAAGTATAGGAAATCAATTGTAATCATATCTATGTTGTTCTGTTTTATCAACTTGTAAATAATTTTATACATTCAAGAAGAAATAAAGAAAGCAGGATGGAAAGTGGCGTCCACACCAAGCACACACCAGCAAAAGAGAGCAAGGTCCATAACGGCGGGGGCCCCTTAGCCTCGTCCTGACCTTCGCATCTCTCGATCACTTCACCACAGGAAAGCCCGGCTCGGACATGAGATTCAATGTCCATAACGGTGAGGGCCCTTACTCTCACCTGATGTTGTTTCTCCAGCTTTTCTGGGGGCCCCTTACCCCCAAGAAACCGCACTTTCCATCACCCAATTTGGCCACAAAGGATTTGCTTGATTTATTAATCTTTTAGTATAATTGAAACTATTTAATAAGCCTATTGTATTCTTGAATAAATATCACCATGCAAATGAAAACGTAGCTCAATAGAAAATGTAAAAAAAACTATTTAAGGTGGCTTCATACCATTTCTTGAAAGTGTAAAACACACGTTTCAGACCCAAAATCTTGCACATTGGGCACATTGATTTAATTTTTAAAGAGAAGAGCATTTGCTTCTCAATGGGTTACAATTAGAGCATCCTATATTTCAATTAAGTAGTTTTATTAAGTTTTGGAAAAGCCTTGTTTTCATGTATTGTGATATCATTATCAAATAATGACAACATTGTAATTGTGTGTTGAATAATATGCATCTATCGAACAGCTTTACTTGCTTTTACAACATCATTGTGCCAGAATCCTTTCTTTGTGAGATCTATTGTTACATAAAACCCCACAAGCATATAAGTTGTGCGGAAACGTACAAATCTGACCTCGGTATGAAAATCTGCATCCATCAAGCATGGTCGCACATATTTTGTCAATTCCCTAGCAATATAGCCAACAAGTTCAAACTCGACATCTGTTTGCAGCAATACTGCAACTGCATTGTCATCATATGGGTTGTCTGGTTCATGCTGTAGTTTTACAAATACATGTCTGTTGTTGTCCATTAATTTGAAGGCACACTCCAGGACTTTCTGTCTGTTGAATGGCATGTCCCTAGAACCCCGAATGGCAATGTGTGTTTTGTGTCCATATCAACAGTGTTGTCACTGGTTTCTGGTGCTACATCACGTGCTCCATGTTGTGATTCATCAATTGTGTTTGTTGATGGGTTAGGGGCAAATTCCCAAAGCACTGTATATGAAATATCTCCAATGTTTATATCTCAATCAGTTTCAAGTATTTATTGGTATATTGTTACGATTAATACAGGTTCTTTCGATAATATAAAGCGTGGAATAACAACAACATGGCGTCCATGAAAAAGGGCGCGAAAACAGTCAATACTTCATGTTATCAATGTATAATGTTTGTCTACTTATTTACGACATCCTCCGGGGGCATGCGAAGTTCTCGGGTCCATCTCCTGATTTGTTCAACTGCTTTACACGCGGCTGTTCATTTCGGTCGTGGAGTAATTTCGGTTGCTGCATTTTCTTGTTGGATACAATCCTTGTCTACGAGGCCTGGTTCTTCTGTTTTAGCTGCTACTTCTAGAGGATAAAGTTTCGTTATGGGTCTATTAGTCTTTCCGGATGCTGTTCGAATGTTAGCAGATCTGCGGGGTTATCTTCTGTGGGGCAGTATTTCCAATTTTCGATAGATGTAAGAGTTTTGATTTCTGCAATCCGGCTGGCAACGTAAGGTTTAAGTTGTTTGGTACTATGAAGCCAATGGAGGACGATTTGGCTATCACTCCACAAGAAAACGTTCGTAACTTGCAGTACTTTTGCCAAGTACGAGCATAACCGTGCTCCTATCGAAGCTGCCGTTAGTTCTAATTGGGGTAACGTCAACTTTTTCAATGGCGCGACTCTCGACTTTGCCATAACAAAGGAGGAATGATTGGCTTTGGAAGATTTAACATATGCTGCGGCACCGTAAGCTTTCAAGCTCGCATCTACGAATATGTGTAACTCTGTATCCTCGGGCAACCCATTTGTTGATGGAAAGTATTGACGAGGTAATTGTACATGGGTGCTTGCTTGTAATTCTTTAGTTAGTTTCTCCCAACTCGCTTGTATTTCCGGAGGTAAGAGTTCATCCCATTGCAACCCTCTCATCCATATCTCTTGCATCAGAATTTTCGCATTAACGACTACGGGGTTAAGGAACCCAATGGTGTCATATATCTTTGATGAAGTACGTAATACTTCACGTTTCGTTGGGGGATTGGATTCGGATGTGGTCACTCTGTTGGGGTAGAGGAGGGTGTCGTTGATAGTATCCCACTGCATGCCAAGAACTTTAGGTTTCAGATTGTCATTTAAGAGGTTTTCTTTCGCTGCGATCGTCTTGACAACAGGGTTGTTCGATGCCCAAGATCTCAAGTTAAATCCACCAAGTGTCATCAGTGTTCGTGCTTTGGTATAAAATGAAACTGCTTCGTCATCATCTTGGGCTCCGGACACAAGGTCGTCAACATAAATATCTTCACGAATACGTTTCGCTACTGGATCATTGAATTGTTTTAAGTGTTTATGAAGGGTGGCATTTAGAATAAATGGTGAACTCGTCGCCCCAAATAACACACGTTTAAATCGGTAAACATCAAAGGCACTAGTTGGATCGCTCGGATCGTTCAACCAGAAGAAGCGGGTAGCATCACGATCTTCTTCATCCAGGACAATATTTAAAAATGCCTTTTCGATATCTGCTGTTAATCCGTACTTCGGCTGACGGAATCTGAGCAATATTGCTGTTAAATCGTTGAGGATTGGGGGTCCAGTTGTTAAACAATCGTTTAAACTTGCGTGATCTGAAGATTTACGGCAACTACAGTCATAAACGACTCGTAGTGGTGTGGTAGACGACTCTTTAATTACAGCGTGATGAGGAATATAGTGACATGTTCGAGTGTTCATGTTTGGGTTTTCCACTTTCTCGATGAAACCTTGTTTTTCTTGATTAATGATCATGTCGTTGTACATTTTTAACTTCTCTGGATCATTCGCCATCCGTCGTACCATTGATCTTGTTCTTTTCGCAGCGATTTCAGCATTGGGTGGTAGGATTGGTTGATCGGGTTTCCACGGTAATTTGGCATGGTATTTTACGTCTTTCAGGGAAATAGATGTGTCTTGGTATTGTTGCAAGAAATCTGATGTATCGTCCTTTTCACGTGGTTGAATTCCAATTGACTCTAGCTCCCAAAAACGTCGGAATTCAAATTCATCATCCTTGCTTGCTGTCATGATGTTTAAAATGGTGGTGTTTAATGCAGATGTTTGGTTGGTCAGTGGAATGGGTCCTGACAGGAGATAACCAATCTTTGACTTTGCTGCTGTTGGGCCAGAACCCTTGATTATTTCATCTTCAACGACATTCCAATAATGATCTGCTCCAATCAATAAATCAATGTCAAAGGTATGCTCATTCGTTATTGGGTGTGCAAATGTCAGTCCTTTAAGGTGGGGCAAATTATGCAAATCAATGGTAGTAAAACTTTGTAAAGGGGCAGCAATTGTGGGAACAATGATAACTTCAATGGGAATGTTTTCTCCTACAGGAGTCTGCAAGTTGATGGTACCTACTTCTACTCTTCTTACCGATGTAGTTGTCCCACCAAATGTGGAAAGGGAAAGGGTTTCCTCGCGTTCAGCTGTTAGACCCACATTCCTGGCTAAGCTACTGGTGATAAATGAACGATGAGACCCTTCGTCAAACAAAATGTGGGCAGTAACTGTTGACCCAATGTACTCAATTGGAGAGATGGCTGTCTTCAACAATGTTGACTTGTGTTTGTTTTCACTTAGATGTTGAATTGTTGTGGGTGAAATGGTTGTGGGCGTTGCCATGTTTTCGGTTGGGGCGGTATTAATTGTATTTACTGATTGGTTTGGAACATTTGGTGTGGGGTCCTGTTTATCTTGGTTGGGAGGTGGGGGATTTTCTGCTGAACATAAACTTGTGTGATGTTTGCGATGACAAATTTTGCATCGACCCCTTGTCTTGCACTGGGACACAATGTGATTATCATTAAGACAATTGAAACATAGTTTGAAATCTCGCACTATGTTGTGTCTGTGTTTCTTGTCAGTTATGACAGTACAGTTATTTGGACTATGCAAACCTTTGCAGTAAACACATGCTCGCTTTGCTGTGGTTGATGGTACATGACGGGGCTTGTATGTCGAATTTTTTGATTGTCCAATGGCAAATGCTGCTGTAGGTGGGTCTGGACAAATTTCATTTGGGTGTTGCTTAGCGGGGTTATTTTCGCCTACTTCTAATATGTCGATTTCTCTGCGTATTGCCTTTCGGAGCTCATCTAGTTTCCATTCATTAGTGTTGTGTTCTCTCGTAAGTGTTTTTATCAAGTCTGCTGGCAATTTCTTATGGATTATAGGAATCAAAATGTCCCCATATGAATCGTGTGATTTTCCTAACGCTTCGAGTGCACGGATATGTGTTTCCAATGTGTCGTAGAAACTCTTTAGACTAGACAAGGTACTTGTCGGGCTTGGTATGTTTAATAATGCTTGCATGTGTGCACTCACTGCTCTGTGTTGTTGACCAAATCTCTCTTGTAATAGTTTGATACTCTTTAGATAATTATTTTCGGTTAAAGGAAATCCAGCGATTGACCTTGATGCTTCCCCAATTAACTGGGCTCTTAAATAGATCAGTTTCTGTATGTTGCTTAGATACGGGTTATCGTGTACTGCTGTGCGGAAGGAATCCCAGAACGTTTGCCAATTCAAGGGGTTGCCGTCAAAGGTTGGTAGTGCTAACTTTGGGAGTCGACTCATGCTGTAACTACTGTTCGAAATGGTGGGGTTTGTACTTGTAACTGACGTACTTGTAGTGGGTTGCTGGTTTAAATTGACAGGTAAATTTTCACTTACTGTGCTTGATTGTGGTTGTGTCTCTTCTGGTGTTGATGGTTGATTTCCTGCTGGTTCACTCTCACTGCTTGTTGCCTGGTTGCTTTCTGGCGTTTGTTGAATATTGTTACTCGCTCCTGTTGCTTGGTCGTGCTGACTTATGTTCATGGACTTGATTTTGTTCTCGATAAAATTTTTAGTTGTACAAATTGTCTCTGCGATAAAACTCTGTGTGTCTTCTGCCTCGATAATATCTGCTTCCAAATCTTCAGGTTTTGTGAATAGTTCAAATATCTTATTGTCTAGTTCTGATAGTACGTGTCCTTTCCGTTGGAGTTGCTCTAAATAACTGCCAAGTGTCACAATAGCATGCTGTTCATTTTG